AAATAATTTTTTAGCCCACTTTGTCTGTCTTTGTCTTCTTGATATGTCCTTTAAATAGATATTCTAAAAAAAGAATGGTCTAAATATCATTACATAAATCTCTAAAGCAAGTGAAATATCTTTGTAATAAAAATGTGAGTAAATAAGATATAATACTTCAAAAGGTAGCCTTTTAAAGTTATTTCACTCTCCAAATACTAGTTTACCCTTAAAAATTGATGATGAAATTCTTGTTAATACTGAAACGCAGTTTAGTTTCTTCTACAGCATTCAAATAACTGCGAGAGAAAAATGGAACAATAGCAAGCACAGCAAAGAAATGTGCACAACTAATGTTTATATTCCCTTTTGCTTTTTTAGCGAAGCTTAACATGTTGATAGTAGATTCTTTTAAAACTTGATGTTGAAGTTCATCTCCCTTCTTACCAGGACTTGGCGTGTTTTTTTATCTGAGTTTTCCACATGTTAATTCTTGCTTATAAAACTCCTTCTCTCATTCTTCTTAAGACTTTACTTCAGAATTTGTATTAAAGTAGGTAAAGTAATTCCAGATAGCTTTCTTTTCATGTCTTTTTTTAAAATACAGAATGAACGTTATATATTTTTATTCTTTATTTTTATTCTCTTGTCTTTTAATTTATTTTATTCTCTTTATTCTTTGTTTTATTCCCTTTTGAGTCCCCAGGTCCTGACTGCATGGGCTGCCACAAATTCACATTTTTGTCTCTACAGGCTGACAACATTGCCAAAGGCTTTGGTGGATTCACTAGGTCTCAGCAGCAGCTGTCTGCCCAGGTTCGCAGTGTTTCCTAGCGTAGGGATGTCCAGAAGGTTACAGTTTGTAGAACGTTGGTTTACTTCTGTGTGGTTTTCTTCTCTCTAGGCCCTGAGCTCTTCAAGTCTTGATGGTCTGCTAGCTCTCCAGTACCTTTAAATCTATTTATTTTAAACAATTGTATTTGAAGAGTGTAATTGGAGGATGGGACTTCCCTGGTGGCTCAGAGGGTAAAGCGTCTGCCTTCAATGCAGGAGACGCAGGTCGATCCCTGGGTGGGGAAGATCCCCTGGAGAAGGAAATGGCAACCCACTCCAGTATTCTCGCCCGGAAAACCCCATGGATGGAGAAGCCTGGTGGGCTACAGTCCATGGAGTCACAAAGAGTCGGACACGACTGAGTGACCTCACTTTAGTCGGAGGATAGTTACAGCGTGAGTCGGCGGCAGCTGCATGCATGTCCCCTTGCTCCGGCACCTCCCTCCCGCGCCCCGCCGCACCCCAGCCCTCTAGGTGGTCACAGAGCAGCGGACTTGGGGCCGTCTGACTTCCACATGGTAGCAGGTATGTTTCCATGCTGCTCTCTCCATTAGTCACAGCCTCTTGTTTTGTCAGGCTTTCTGATTGTTCCTGGTGGGAGCATTGGCATGCCCAAGCTTTTCCATGAAGCCGTGGATAAATTTTAATGTTTTAATTATTTTATTTTAAAAATCTGGCTCATTAAATATGAATGACAAAGCAGCGCATCTTCACAATAAAAGTCACACAGATGATAAGAAAAGTTCCTGTGCCTGCGTTCCATCCTGTAGTCTTTGTTCCTGCAGGCAGAGTTTCAGCTTCTCGTGTATCTGTGTAGTTACATCTTGAGTACACATGTATGTCTGTGTATATATCCCTTTTGCTAACATATTTTCTATTTTAATTATGAAACTATTCACACTGAGAAGAATAAAGACTATAATAAAAATCTTTGTACCTACAATCCAGGTTTTAGAAATGTCAACATTTTACCATATTTCTTTAGATCTTCTCTTTCTCTTAAGAAAAAAAATGGTGTAATAGCATTGAACCCCCATTTTTAAAATCGGTTCTTTTTTTTACCGTTCTCCTTTTTCTGTTCAGTTTGATTTTCAGGATTTACCTGTGCTGACACACACAGGCCCCCTTTCTTCACCTTAATTTGCATGTGATGGTCCTCTGACTACTTCCTTGCCAACCCCCCACTTAGTTTGTTGTTGTTATTTGTTTTGTCTTTTTTTCCATGGTGTTAAAATATTGTACCTTAATTCTGGACTTTCCATTTTTCATAAACTTTCTTTATATTTAAAATACGTGATACTAAGACTTACTTTGTACCATTCTCTACTTACAGAAAACTAGAAATAAATTACATGGGGAATAAGAGTCTTTAATGTCATAATGCTCCAGTGAGGTTTGTTTAGAACATTTTAATGAACATTTTGATGTACAGGAATTAATTTCTGGACAAGCATTTTCTCCCTCTTTTTAGCACACTTAGCAGTAGCAGTAGCAGCAGTAGGTGCTTTCAGAATAGCAGTGTATGCTCTTCTGCTTTTCTTCCTTTTCTAGGTCTGTAATACTTTGGTAGCACTTTAATCAATTAAGATTTATTGATTGATGTGCTTTGCACTTTCCTAAGCATTATTGATATTAATGAAAATAATTAATGGCCCGCCTGGAGGTTAAAATTTAGTTGGAGAGAAATGAACTGATGATTAGACCACACTAAAGTGCTAATGGTGTGAGGTGAGATTTGGAGTGGGTCATAAAGGATGATGCAGATTTGATTTTGGAAAGCAGAGACAAGAGGATCTTTATGAATAATAACTCAGACGTGAATGCGAGATGGGTGATGATTGAAAATCTTAACCATTTTATATGGAGAAGGAAATGGCAACCCACTCCATTATTCTTGCCTGGAGAATCCCATGGGCAGAGGAGCCTGGAAGGCTACAGTCCAAGGGGTCTTAAAGAATCAGACACGTCTGAGCCACTTTCACTTCCACTTCACGGAATGATTTTCAAGTCAAAACTCACTGTCATAATAAAGTTCTCTTTAAACATACAGGAATTCCTCAACGATCGGAAGCAAGACAAGGGTGACCACTCCGTCCACTATTATTCAATATATCAGCTTATATTATTTTATTGTAATTTAAAAAAAAAAAAAAGAAAAGCTTAACCATTTTATAAAGCTGAGAGTTTATATTTGGGGTAATGGGAAATTAAATAGACTAGAAGGAGATGGTCATCAGTAGTCCAGGAAGTTTAGAACTGATGAAGTGGACAGTAAGATGCCCATCTCAATTTCAAGTAGATTAGAAGATTTTAGGATGTGGAGTGGATTAGACCATGGAGAAGGGAGATTGTCTTAGGAGGTTTTTATAAGACTTTGGAATTTCATCTTAGATGTAGCCTTCAATGAATGCCTGTGCCCATTGGCCCAGTAATTCCATTCTAAGAGTTCTAGGAAGATATTCCAAACTGTGTGATGTCTGAAGGACAGAGAACTGGATCATGGCAACATTTTGAAGTAACTTATTTTTCTTCATGAATTCCTGCTTCCTGGTACCTTTTTCCTCCAAATCCCAGTGAGTCCAGGTTATCTTCCTCCAGTCTGACAAAGTGTTTAGCAGTAGTGTTAGTCGCTCAGTCATGTCCAACTCTTTGCTATCCTACGGACTGTAGCCCCCCAGGCTGCTCTGTCCATGGGATTCTCCAGGCAAGATTACTGGAGTGGGTTGCAGTCCCCTTCTCCAGAGAATCTTCCAGACCCAGGGATCGAACCCAGGTCTCCTGAATAGCAGGCAGATTCGTTACCACATGAGCTATAGGGAAGTCCCGACAGTGTGTGTGGGTCCCCGTGAGCTGGAGGATCTGGGACCCTCGAAGTGGGCACGGGTTCTTCTTAGTCAGGGGTCTCTACAGAGCTCGAGGGAGCTCACAGATGAGTTTCTAGGGTTCTTGAATTTTCTTAAAATCTTATGTAAGGGTTTGAATTATGTTTATTTTGAAAACTCTGGAGTGAGTTTCAGATCCTGAAAGATGTCTGTGACCCACCCAAATTAATAACAATGCTTAAAGATGACTTTCCTGCAAGTCACCATCTTACCTCTTTAGACGCTACTGAAACCAAGTGGAAAAAAGACAAGTGATTATGTGTTGAGCTATATGAAATTGTCAAAAAAATTTTTTAGTCGTTCTTGACATACAGAAACATCGGTGTCATATGATCTGACCTAATATATTCTTCAATAACATCTTTATACTTTTATAATGTAAAGATATGCACTTTAGGAATGTAGATTCTAGTTAAGCAGTTTGTGCTAAACTTTGTGTTTAACTGTACTTATTTAAAAATTACTTATGCAGTATTAGGCATATTATTCCTGTCTTTAAGATTTTTACTGTGGTAAAATGAGGGTAGGGAAATGGTAGAAAGAGAAATGAAAGATAGGGAAACCAAAAAAGTATATGGTGTAGTGCCAAAATAGCAAATCAATTCACATTTTTTACTAACTACTTGCTGGTTAAGTTCTTCCCAGCTGTCTTTGATAATGAAAACTGTCAGGCCCTCTCTGGCTCAGGGACAGCCGAACCCAAGCCTCCCGCATTGCAGGCAGATTCTTTACCAGCTGAGCCACAAGGGAAGCCCAAGAATTCTGGAGTGGGGAGCCTGTCCCTTCTCCAGCAGATCTTCCCAAGCCAGGAATTGAACTGGAGTCTCCCGCATTGCAGGCGGATTCTCTACCAGCTGAGCCACCAGGGCCCCGGCCCACCCCCCGGGGACACGAAGCACGGTAATGAGCCCGCCCTGTCTGCTGCGTCTACCAGGAGCGTGAGAGGGCTGAGTGTTGACGCAGATCACTCATTTGCTGTTTCACTAATTATATTGATCTAATCATACTTTTCTTTGTTAGCCACAGCATTCCATTTCTTCCAGTGACATATTGTGTGACTGTTTTAAGTGGAGTTTGGCAGTTGCAACTTTGAGTCAAGAAAACCAAATTTAATTGTAAACTATTTCTTGAGAGAGTTCAGATAACCAACAAAGATACAGTTTGGCTGAGTTTCTTTCTTTCCCTCTTTCTCAATTTTCACTGTTCTGTTCTTTTATTTTCAATTAAGCCAAAAAAAAAAAAAAGCAAAAATATAATTGAAATGAGAAAACATTTTAAACCTAAGCCTTTTTTTTTCTTTTATAGGTCTCTATCTGATACTAAACAAGCCAACATTTTAAGAAAAGCAAGATACTATATAAAACAGAAAAAGTACGATGAAGCAGTAAGTATGCAGGCCTGGTGTATGTAAACAGCTGATGGTCCAGGTGTCGAGAGGGGCGGGTCTGCTGAGATCAGAGTGAGGCAGCCGGGGAGCTGTCCTGACCCTGCACGGAAGGGCCGAATTTCCGAAGCAGCTGCTTTGGCCACATGGGTAGACTTCTCTAATTTCAGATAATGTTATAGGTAAACTTTTTTAGGTGAATATCGTTACTGAACAATTGCTCTTTTCTGTAATGAGAACGTATATTCCAAGGTTTTGTCATCCTGCTTATGCATAATATTTTAGAATGTGACATATTTGTACATTTAGAATTAGCTTCACACTATTAGCAATTTAATAGTTCATTCTGAAGCTTTGACTTTTCCCAGTTCCTACCCCATTGTCTTTTTCATGAATTTTCGTCTTTGTTAAATGGTCATATAAGTTTAAAGTAAGAAAGAATTCTATTTTCATTTCTAAAATTGCCTAAGTAGTACAATGGCATTTCTAATGCTTATTTTTATTATAGTTTTACAATGGCAAGCTACTCTCCTCTAAAATATTAAGCTATTTTAATATTGTTTTATAACTGATTGGATTGGGAAGATCCCCTGGTGATGGGAAAGGCTACCCACTCCAGTATGCTGTCCTGGAGAATTCCATGGATTGTATAGTCCATGGGGATGCAAAGAGTCAGACACGGCTGAGCGACTTTCACTTTATAATTGATTTGGGTAATCTAATAATAAGAAAGTAAAAAAATGTAAATGTGGGCCTTTCTATTAGGGACATATGTTAGAGAGTTTTTTAAATGTTTTTATTTTGTGTTAGGGTATAGTCAGTGAGCACTGCTGTGATGGTTTCAGGTGAACAGAGAAGGGACTCAGCCGTGCACACACACATATCCATTCTTCCCAACTCCCCTCCATCCAGGCTGCCACATGACATTGGGCAGAGTTCCATGTGCTGTATCGTAGGCCCTTGTTGGTGATCCATTTTAAATATAGCAGTGTGTATGTGTCCATTCCAAACTCCTTAATTATCCCTTCCCTCTTCCCCAGCAACCATGAGTTCACCCTCTAAGTCTGTGAGTTAAAGAACCATTTCTTTCATATGTCCTCTGAAGATAATTTTCACAAACTGAATCATTTAAAGTCACTACACATCTCATCGATAGTCTGCACTTAAAATATCCTTTCTTATCAAGATTTTAAATTTGGGAGGTGGGAGGGGGGATCGGGATGGGGAATACATGTATATCCATGGCTGATTCATGTCAGTGTATGACAAAAACCACTACAATATTGTAAAGTGATTAGCCTCCAACTAATAATAAAAAAAAATAAAGATAAAAAAAGATTTTAAATTTTATTTGGGATTTTTTTCTTATCCCTTGCAAGAAGATCCTTGAACAGCCAGAATCTCTTTTTGATCCCCTGCCTGCAGTTACGTTAATTGTAATACTTTTCCTCCCTGATACTTGGGTTTTCTTCTTCTTTCCGCGTGACTGCTGTGTTCCTGTTCTCCCCAGGTCTCCCTGTGTCAGCAGCTGATTAACCTCGCCCTGAGAGGCCTGTCCTACTATCACACTTACGACAGGTTCTTCTTGGCTTTCCACGTCGTCCTTGGTTTCGTGGGATGGACCTCTTACGCATCGCTGCTGATCATCAAGTCTCACTGCAACCTTATGAGAGGTGTTAGTACAGAGGTCAAGGTATGTTCAGAAAAACTGAAGATTCAGATGGTGCTGCCAGACCAAGGGGCTGAGGAAGTAGACGGAGTCTGGCCAACCGTAGTGCGCTCACGTGGTGCGCGCGCTGCGCTAAGCTAGTCCTCCTCCGCTTTTGCCGTGGCGGGCCTTTCTTCTCAGAGGCCTCTGTTTCTTCAGCGGGGAACAGAGCGCATTGATAATAATAGTCCTGCAGTAGAAGAGAGCTGTGAAGAGAGCTGGGTAGTTTACATTCACCCATGGCATTAGCTGTGCGGACTTTCTGTTTGTTTTATATTTATTTAGCATATTGTAAGTGTTCCATATCTTTCTACAGTATAGGTAATCAGAAAACAGTTTCAGAGCAATATGTTTAACTTCACCTGATACTAAGTTTAGGAGCTGGAAAGAAATAAAATCACTTATTCAAAATGTTCCTTTTAAAACAATATACATTTTTTTTTGGAACTGTCCTTCCCTTTTTCATCTTTCTAAAATTCTTAAACATGAGTTTCCAGAACTTCCTATACATCCTCATTTTAAGAATTAGTCCCTCATTTATTGTACTTTCAGCACCAAACAAAACAAAAAAATCCTGTTCTTTAGTAATACTTTATACAACTGAGAAAATATTACAGTACATATATGGTTTACTATATTAAAACACTTTACTGTTTTAAAATTTATTACTGGCATTTACCAGGGATAATATGCCACTTCCATTTTCTTTACTTCATTCTCTAGTGATTATTACCTTGTCCAAATCTTCTAAAAAGTAGTATATCCGGATGGTGTATTATTGATAATAATAGTCTGCACACATTTCCAACAGTAACTTTTTTCAACTTTATGTTTTATTTTTCTATAATGGAAGGAAGAACAATAGTGTTATCCCATTTTTACAGTGCTTTAATGCATGTTAAATAATTTAACCCAAGTAATTTTCATTATTTGAATGTATGTGAAATTGGCTAGAATAAAAATAATTTCTTACATGACAGGAAAAGAGGATGTTTTAGTGAAGGATATATCTAGGCATTCAGCAGGCTATTTGAAATTTATTTTGCCACTTTAAGCTTGTAACAGTGCTCAAAGTGGGCTGTACAAAAGAGGAGACGGGAGTTGTTTAAGTCACTTGCACAAGGCCATTCAGCTGAGACGGGGAGGAAGTGAGGTTTGAGTGCTGAGTAGTAATGCCAAGTGCCTCTGCTGTCCACTTGAGACTATCACAGCATTGTTAATTGTCTAGTCTCAATATAAAATAAACAGTGTTAAAAAAAAATTGCCCCAAACTGACCACTACAGTTGAATTCATTAAAAGTATTTTGAACTCTTTGGATTTGTTTGCGAAAACATTCTGATTCTTCTTCAGTGAGAGCTTATAATCTAGTGAAGTGACAGCATCTAAGCAGTTTGGGAGGAAGAATACATTGCCAGGAATCAGTAACACTGACAGAAGGGGGCATGGAGAGCAGTTGGGGGTGAGGGGCCTGCAGCTGCAGAATGTGGGGCCTGCGGTTGGGGTGCATGGAGCTTCAGCAGTGCATGGTACCCCTGTTCCCTGGAAGCACGTCACCGAGAAGGCGGCCGGTTGACGGCTGGGAGGGAGGGAGAGGGGAGCTCGCAGCAAACACTGCCCTCCTCTCCAGACGTGGGAGCAGACGTGAGACAAGCTAGGTGGTTTAGCCAGTGAGAGAGAGAGAGTGAGTCAAACGGTTTAGCCAAACTGACAGCAAATAGAACAGAAGCGCTGAAATTAAATTTTGGTCTGACTCCAGTGATGCCGGGAAAAAACTGAGAGCAGAGGAGAAGGGGGTGACAGAGGATGAGATGGCCGGGTGGCATCACCGACTCAGTTTGAGCACACTCTGGGAGCTTGACACGAGCTTGAGCACACTCCGGGAAATGGTGAAGGACAGGGATGCCTGACGTGCTGCAGTCCATGGGGTCGCACAGAGTTGAACACAGCTTAGCAACTGAACAACAACCACCCGTGTTTATGTCACTTCTGCCTGACAGTCTTCCTCAGATTATACAGGTTGTTCCTAACTTACCACCGTTACAGACAGGTCTGCAGCGAACATTCTCTTTAAAGCCAATTTGCCACAGCTCCTCCCAGTTGAAGTCTGCATTTAACTTCCATCCGTTCTTCTCTGCTTGCTAGTTCAGACGTCTTTTGCTTTAGAAGTAAATATCCTTATTTATCTGCATGCTTTCCTGTTCTCTCGTTACCTGGGGAGGTCTCAAAAGGTTAACCCCTTAAACCAAGCCCCGTGATTCCATCTCTGTCTGTGTGGCTTAAATTCCTTCTTGGTCAGCACCTCGTACAGAGCATGGCATAGACGGTGTGACTTAGGAACTGTTGGTTGGAGGGGTAACCTCAATGCACACAGCATGGTTCATTATCGTCAGGTGTTTTTTGGAGGATCTGGGAAGGCAGGGAGTTAATTGTGATGAGGGAGAAAATGTCTCCCATTCCTGTTATTTAAAGTTCTTTCCATTTTTACTTTAGCTGAACTGGCTTCTTTCTGATTTGGTTTCCTACAAGTAGATGTTTATTTGTAATGTCTGTTGCTTTATGTGTCAAAGGTTTGGATAATTATATGATATTGTGCTGACCCTAGAAGATCCCTCGAGGATCTTTTTACGTACTTGTTTAAATTTATTTTCTTATTATTTTACTCTTCTCAGAGTGATCTGAAACCAGTCTGTTCCTACAGTGCCTGCCTGCCTCCCTCAGGCACCTTCCGCATTAGAGACCCTCCCTGTCGGTCTCTTAGTCCTGCCCCTCCTTCCCCACCTGCCCGCTTGCTCGGGGTCCTCATCCTGTCCGGCCTGCGTCTCCATTTCCAGGGCCAGCCACTGGCCAGGCAGGTTTCTCCACTGACTGCTGGGACGCATGCAGAGGAGAGGTGGAGAGAAGAAAAGTGGAGGTGACGATAGGAGCCCTTATTTCTGAAGCAGTAGTAATATTCTGGGCATTTTGTTAAGCTCTTCATAATTTCATTTAAGCATGACTAGCCTTGATAAATAGATATGGATATTATTATCCCTACTTTATAGATGGGATGAAATTAAGTCCCAGAATATTAAAGTGTTTTTGTTTTTTTTTTCCAGCTCATGGTCATACAGTGAGCCATTGACAGAAGCAGGATTTGAATTCTGATCTATGTAGCTCCAAACTCTTAATCACAGCGCTGTGTTTCAGCTTCCTTCTTCCTTTTTACAACCCTGCCCTGTCTTATCCTTGCTTCCTTGCTCCCTTTCTGGTGACATTTTAGAGCAGAAGGGAGGAATTATAAAGGGGGGGAGAAAACACTTGCTTTTCCTCCCTAACCTCACCTGCTCCAGAAGGTAATTCTTAATTCTCCCCTCATTCAGCTCGGGCAGCAAGGCAAGGGGAAACAGGCAGGGAAAACAAGGCGCGGAGGCGGGAGAGCGCCATCTGACCCTGCAGTCCTGTTCCTTCCTCCCGCCTGCTCTCAGCATCAAGCTCTGCGTCGGCGCGTCCTGTGCTCATCGCTTGCCTTTCCGTCCCGGACGCGGGCCCCAGTGCTCCCGGCCCAGAGCACGCGCAGGCCCGCCCCGTCCGCGCGGGGCCACTGAGCGGCTCCCTTCCTGCTCGGCGGGCGGGCGGGAGCGGAGATGAGCCCGAAGGATCCTGCCGTAGGTTACGTGCTGGGGAGAGCCAGGCGCCCGGCCTGTCGAGTTGAAGCGCGGTTCCCGAGGGAAATGAAGGCCCACCGTTCACCGCAGATCCAGTGGGCTCTTGTGCGCTGGGCAGTGAGCTCAGTCAACGTCCATAAAGTTGTTACCAAGGAGAAGTCTGCTCAGAGTTCCAGACAAGGTATTTGCAAGCTGTAGGAACTCAGTCCTCTTACATGGAGAATCGCCTCACCGCTGCAGCCCCAGGCTACCTGCTTCCCTCCAGTGACAGGTTTCTTGTAAAACGCAGTTCTCAGATCAGTCACCTAGTTGTGGAATCACTGAAAGGAAGTAATATGTTTCTTTTACTTCATAAAATGTCTCTTAAGAGTCTGTCGGTGAACATGAGTTTGAAGTGTTTTCAATGTTCTCTTTGACTTTCAGAGCCCAAGCCGGCTCCTCCCGTGCACGTTTGTAGCTATTGGCGTTTCTGTGGCGTTTTTCCTGCTGATTCAGGCCCGTCCCTGGACTTACTACCTCTACTGTCTGTTGCCGTGGCCGATATGGCATGCGGTTCTGAGAGAGTAAGTAAGAGTCTCCTGGTCTTGTTTTCCGCTTCACTGACAGTTAAATCTGTGCTTAGAAGGCAGCAAGTAGCATAAGTAGATTTCTATAGTGTAAGTCATGAAAGATACTTACAGTACTGTCAAATCTCCCAGCCCTCTGATTTCATGTATAACAGCATAAATGGTGCATATAAATATCCTCTTTTTTTTTCCAGCTGCCCCTCACAGCTTTCAGGGTCTTCGTTTCCCAACCAGGGATTGAACCCCGGCCCTCAGCAGTGAAAGCAGGGAGTCCTAACCACTGGGCCACCAGGGAATTCCCTAAACATGCTTTTTATTTTGCTTTTCCCTTTTGACTTAATCTTTATTGCCCCGAGACAGCTTTGGCCTCAGTTCCTTTCATGTATCTTTTATAAGAAAATTCTGGAGTAAAAAAGAAATAATTAACATGGATTGTACTATGTCAGGAGTGGCTTACATTTTGAAATCTCATCATCCCAGTTTCCAGTGTATCTTTTATCTTTCACAAGGCAGTTTGCATGCTTTTGTTCCTTATGTTTTTGCCCCTCCTTTCCCAGCTATCATGTAAACCTAGATGAATGAAAGTTTGTACTTAAATTCAGTCTAGTAATGTGTACTTGCAAGGATTAGGGAAAATTATTCACGTATGCTGTGGTTCCATCTCTAAGTACTTCCTTACAGGTTGAACTTGAAATGGATTTTTATCATCATAGAAAACATCGAGGCCAAGCTCTCATGCACGTTTCAGACGCTTTAAAACAAAACTGCTGAAACGCTGGGTTGGTTCATGCTACAAAATCTCAGGCAGTGAGGATTGTGGTATAGATTGTGTTGATTTCTATATCTGCACCAGTAGTCTAGAATATAAACTTAATCTTACGCCTCCTTTGAGCAAATCAGACCCCAAAAACAGGCCAGGGAATGACAGTGCAGGATTGGGTATTGTCAGGGTTGGCCAGCATGTTTGAAATGATACAATGTATGTTTCTATTCTGATTTCTGTTAACTCCAGCTTTGATCACCTCTTCTTAATATCAAAAATTGAAATTAATAGTAAAATATTTTAAATATTAACTTTTTCAAATACAAGGTAAAAAGACACTGACAAAAGAACAAACTGTTACTTTTCCATTTGAAAGGAATACAGTTGCTGGACACATGTATTTAAATCAGAACTTTTTCTAATGAAATTTTTTCTGGTTTAAAACTTTTTAGAATGAGAAGTTTTATCTAAAATTCCCTCCTAAATTATTAAATGTTCTATTTGTGAAGACCACATGTATATTTAAATTTTAAGGGACAGTGTGATTTTGAAAATATGTTGTGTTCTGTATTTATCTTTTTGATAGATTAAAGAAAATAAAACATAAAATTTCACATTTCTTCTAGAAAAAAACTAAGTGATATTATTGAATCATCACTGCTGAGAACAAAAGAAACATTCTCCTTTTGACTGGTGTTAGCTTTTCTTCCCTACATGGTACTTTAATTGTTTCGATGATAATATGTAACCATTGTTTTTAATTAGAAAAAAGTTATAAACCAAACCATACTGACATTTTATAATTGCCTACAAACGCACTACAAATGCTAAAAAAATTTTTCTAGTGATAAAATATGAAACGTACTTAAGTATGTAATACATTTAAATGGTTGTGAACTCACATTTAATTATAATTAGTGTACGATTAGTGACATCTTAAATTGAGTTTGGAAAAGGTTTTTTTGCCCAATAAAAAAGTGCAATTAAGATTTTCTCTACCTCGATTAAGTTGAAGACAGTTGAGATTTCATTATAAAATTAATTTTAGTGAATTTTAAAAATGTTCTCAGTTTTTATTCATTTGGGTTCATTTATTTTATTTCTGATGTTGTATCTGTAATTGCAAGTGCCCATGTTTAAACTCTAGAGAAGGAAATGGCAACCTACTCCAGTATTCTTGCCTGGGAAATCACATGGACAGGGGAGCCTGGCAGGCTACTGTCCATGGGATCGCAGAAAGTTGGACACAACTTAGCGACTAAACAACAAATGTTTAAACTCAGATCAAGTAAGACTCATTTATTGTCATTAATGTTTATAAAAAACCAGGCAAATTATTGTGATCATTATCAACTTAATTCAGAAGTTACACTTTTCCTAATATACTTACAGGTTTCAAAAAAGATTTAGGTAAGTTAAGGCATTGAAACAAATCTGTTAGAAATTATCTTAGAATCTATGAATCGAAAATTTCCTGATTTCTGTGCACAAAATTTTAATGTTTTGCTATATGAGAACTAATTTTTTATACTCAACATAGGTTATAAATAATCTTTTTATAAATAATCCTGTTACACAGAATGCCAGTTATTCAAGGCTTTGTCACCTTACTGTCGACCTTCCCTCCACGACGCTTCCTTGGCTACCTCTTGCTCTTTATCCTGGGAGTTGAAGTATTAGTAAGTAATTGACCACTTGAACATTTTTAGGTTTCTTTCATACACGTGTATCTCGTTCGCAATGACCTCCTTTTCCCTGTCTTCTTTGAATTACGTTCTCAGGTGCTCAGTTTTTTCCACCGCTATATGCTCACAGCTGGGCTCGTTGCATTTGCCGCTTGGCCATTTATCACTCCACTGTGGACTCGAGCAAAGGTATAAGTGCTACTCACTTCAACGCTGAGCAGATTCGTAGTGACTCTTTGGGGTGTGTGTTTTAACTCTGGGAATTGTTCATTTTTTAAGAGAAGCGTAGAATGTGTCCTTACATAAAGATCCTGATCCTTTTGACAGGAGGACTGAGGTTGACTTAAAGGTGTCAGTGATTCGTGTAGCTTTTCATATCAAAGTGAACTGATCTTCTGGTGACTGAAACACTCGAGAAGTACAGCTGATACATCCTCCCCTGAAAGGCTTCCTGGGTTCCTTTAGCCTCAGATGTCTAAATGCCACCGAGGAGCCGCCCAGAGCAGAGTGCTGGCAGGAGGGGCCACGTTCTGGGCTCATGTCCGAGGGGTCACCTCCCCTGGCCCAGGGCCCCATCATGCTTTCTCTGGAGAAGTGTTTGTTCATGATAGATGATTTTAAAAGAGAATTACTCCTGATTTTCTTTTTTGTTGTTGTTTGTTTTGTGTATCTTTGCAGAGCTTATTTTTTATGCATTACATGTATCTCTGAAGACAGATTAGAATGCAAATAAGCAAAGATTTAGGAAAAAGACTACCCACAATCCCGTCACCCGGACATTCCATGTTGTTAACCCTTCCAGACTTTTTCCTGTACATACATTCTTAAAGAGGAAGAAAGGAATTATCCTATTCTTCATATTTTACAACTTCTTTTTTTTTTTTACTGAATCATTATTGTAATTATTCCTGATTTTCTGCCTTTAACTATATAGGTAATTACAATGTGCTACAAAAAATTTTCTCATGTTTCCACTTTGATGCTTTTTGGTGGAGGTAGCACGAAGACAGACATTTCTTCTTTGTATTCTATGAGAACCTACAAAACATTCCAGTTAGTGGAATTATTGACAATTTTTTTGTCTTAATCTAACTACAAAAATGTTTTTACCTTTATCCCTCCTGGGTGCAACATTTGTTTATAATAGTAGGCCAGCTTTCTTGAAGATGTCATCAGTGTATGATAGAATATAAATGGAATGAGGCTCCCCAGGTGGCTCAGTGGTAACGAATTTGCCTGCCAGTGCAGAGGCCACAGGAGATGTGAGTTTGGTCCCTGGGTCGGGAAGATCCCCTGGAGGAGGAAAGGGCAGCCCGCTCCAATGTTCTTTGTTGGGATAATCCCGTGGACAGAGGAGCCTGGCGGGCTATATAGCATGGGGTCCCAAAGAGTCGGACATGACCGAGCATGCACAAAGGATTGAATGAAGTGCTTGCTTTGAAGGAGTTTAAATCCAGGTTTAAATCCTGGCTCTTTCATTTACTAGTCATAGATCTGGTGCTACACACTTTGACATCTCTGAGCTCAGTGTCCTAAGCTGAAATACTATGAATAATATAGCCTACCTCTTGAAGTTATTGTGAGAATTAAAAAAGATAATACCTAAATCATACTAAATAGAGTGCCTCAAACTTAACAGATCCTTCACAGATAGTAGCAGTATTGCTTTCAGAGTAAACAGATATAAGGCTTTGAGTTTTCCTTTTAGTTTCACAGCCATGTAGTCTGTGAAACAATGAAGACAGTTGTTTGTACCATAGTGTCTAAAGATAACTTTTTTCTTTATTTTAGAGTATCTCGCTGAGTTGGATTTTCTTCTGTTTGCTACTGGCCGTGTTCCCACTTATGCCTGTTGTAGGACGACAGCCGGATATCTTTCTAGTGTATGGGCACTATTTTAACTTACTTTCTTTTGAATACAATTGTTTTTCTCAATCAACACTATATGAACCACATCTTGGCCGTGAGTTTAAAATCATGTGAACAGCCTAGAAGTTAAAATATTAATATTAAACCATGAGTCATCGTTTTGGCCCAGCTCTGAGAAGCATTGAAACTCCCTGAAGATGCTTCTGAGCCTTCATAAAAATTGAAATTGTGCCAACAGTAACTTAAATTGCCAACAGTTTAAAAAATGTCTAGAAGCTCTTATATATTGGGGGAATCAGTAAATGATTTCACTTGAAAAACATGTTCAGTTGCTGAAATTAACAGGTCTAAAAAGCTATTGATGACTGATATAATCTCTGTCTTTGTCTTTGAGCAAGTCCACATTTTTAATGTCTTAGAAAGATGAAATTCTCTTCTACTTTGAACATAAAAATCTCTGCTGGGGAGAGGAGGAATCTCTGTGCACCTTGATAGCTTTCTCATGTTTAATCACATATATTGTTAGAAAATTCTTTATACCTTACTTGAATTCTCTTTGCTGCTCTTATGTTTATTTCCTCTCAATGTATCCCAAACAAATCTGTAAAATAACTGGTTACCTGTGTTTTTAATTTTAAGTTATTATCATATAATCTATTGGCTGTGTGTGTATGTGCTTGGGAAGCTGAATGATCATTATTTCATTTAACCTTTTACTCTCTTATTTTCTAATCATGTAATCATCTTCATTACTTTCTTTTGAACTCTGTGTAAGCAAATTTTTTAGCAGTCTAACTCAGTCTTTAATAGATGAGGGTATTTTTTTAACTGAAAGAAACCACAACAGTATTTTAAAGTATGTGTTAATTTTAAAGTATGTGTTATGTATAAATTAATACATTTATTATTGTTTCTGTGAGAATAATAATTATGGACTAGATTAGAAATTATTCTGTGAAGTCAATTTATTTGCAGAGCTCAAACAATAGTATTGAATTCTAGGACTCTTCTCTCTTAGCCATGCCTTACTGATTACTAAGTGGAAACACTTTGCAGTTGTTTTAAATTGTAAGCAGCATGTGCAAAGATGAGCTCAAGCATTTGGCTTTGTTGGCTGCTTCCTGTTGCTCTGACTCCCTTGTCTCTGTAAAGACCGTTCCCCTCCTTTCATCACTCTGTCCCCGTCTGTCCTGTTCAAGCGCTGTTGGCACAGTTGAACAGGACTTAGGCTAAGAGGAAAAGAAATCATATAAATAGTCTCCACAGAAGTTTGCCACTCACCTATTCTATTGTGAATTGTGTTTTAAAACAGAGTGGGTGCAGGCTTTCTGGTTCTTCTACTATCCCTGTTTGTTGTAACATCTATCATAAAAAGAAAAGACAGTTTTATAAATGAAGAGCTGGTGTTACATCTATTACAGGTGGGTTACAGATTTTCAATAGTATGTTTTATATATATGATATGCTAAAATGTACCTTATGGTTGTATTTAATTACATTTTTAAGATGCCATCATGTTTTTATTACTTAACTAAAAGAGCTGAGAAGAGAGTTTTCTATTTAAGGTATTAAATGGAAATACATTCTCTAGAAGGAATAAAGGAAATACATTCTCGAAAATAGTGAAAAGGTCAACAGGAGCCGCCCCCTGCCCCCTCGCTGCTAAATGCCTGGAGAGCAGAGATTAAGGAGGTGTAAGTCTACTTTGGCCACCTGATGAGAAGAGCTGAGTCGCTGGAAAAGACCCTGATGCTGGGAAAGATTGGGGGCAGGAGGAGAAGGGGGTGACAGAGGATGAGATGGCTGGATGGCATCACCAACTTGATGGACATGAGTTTGAGTAAACTCCGGGAGTTGGTGATGGACAGGGAGGCTTGGCGTGCTGCAGTCCATGGGGTCGCAAAGAGTCAGACACGACTGAGCGACTGAACTGAACTGAACTGAAGAGGTATGGACCAAGAGGTTGAACTGAAAAGGGCTTCTTCTGGTCTGAGATTCTGTGTTGTCCTCTTTGGGGTCAGGAAAGAATGAGTTCTTTGAAGTGAAAGCAGCCGCTGAGTACATTTATATGAAGATTAGCCACTTTAAGACTTCACATGACATGCTAGGAGAAAATAACCTTCACCTTGGTTGGTGGCTTTGGAGCGGCGAAGAGAACTTTGAACTTGACGTTTCCAGATTGAGTTAGTTCCTAGCTACGCTCTGTACTGTATGTGTGATTTTCAGTAATAGAGCTTCAGTCTGTTTTTACTCAGTAGAGACCGTATTCAGTAGGGTGGTAAGAGGTTATAGGTGTCATATTCTGTAAAATGATAGCTTTACTGTAGATAAGAGTGGAAGTCACTTTTTTTTCCTTTTAAACAATAAAAAATAAGCCACATCTAGAACATTGATTAAAAAAGAAAACATATCTGAGTCTTCTCAAAAAATTTACTCAGAGTAAAGCTAGGATAATAGTAGTTCCAAGAACACTAAAAATTAAAATATACAATACATGAAAGATGTTAACTCATTCTTGGAGAACAACAGAGAACATATAAAAAAGAAATATTTTTGTTAAAGATCCTATCAAGCCATTGAAACATATCTTTTCATTTTATTTGGTACACTGATTGGCTTTACACTAAACCATGGTAGCTTTGACAAAATTCACCTGTAATAATGAGCATTTTGACAAAGGTGAGTGTTTCTGCATCTCAGTCTTAGGAACCAATAATACCATGTTAAAATTCTTATGGACTTTGTTAGAAATGCTCCTAAATATAAGGTAAATCTGATTTTAAAAAATTCCCTCTTACATTAACCTTATTAATTTGCATTCATTCCTCTATTGTGTACCATATATATATTTGATATGAAGGTATGTTTGATATATTTGTGTCTTTTCACATTTTAACATATCTAAAATGAGACTGTGTCTTACAGTTGAAAGGATCCTAGGGTTGTGTTGTAGATTTATTGACAGCATTTCTCCTTCTTAATTCACTGAAAACATGAGTAAATAAAATTTGGTGATAAGGTTGCTAATGTGAACTTTAAGAGAGTTTACTTGATTCACAACCATAGTTTAGGTCATTTCTTAACCTGGCTGTTAATCCACTAATTCAGGGGTCAGCACACATTTCCCTGAAGAGCTAGATTGTACATGTTTTAGGCTTGTGGGCCACATGGAGTCTGTTGTCAGTTTTCAGCTCTACCATTGTGGGGCAAAGGGAGCTGTCGACAATAGGTGAATGAAGGGGAGTGACTATACAACAGTAAATAAAACAGTATTTCTAAAAGAAGCAGCAGCCTACAAGCCATAGTTTACCAACTCCACCAGTTTATATGTACTCCCTGAAGAATTCTACACTCCTTGTGTTCTCAGCGCCAGTGACCCCTCAGGCCACAGGAATGCGCTGAACGTGTAGACAGCCCTGACTGCGAGTGAGCCAGAGGTGGAGACACTGAGGCACACACCGGGCTGTGTGCACTCCACCCTCTGCATGCCCACGATTTAAGGAACCTCCAAGATGAAGAACATCTTCCTAAGTAGAAACAGTGTGGTAATGTACGCCAAAGTACTCTTGAACGTGTAAAACACTTCATTCATGCTTATAAAGGAAGGACCTTTGCTTCATACAGGAGTTCCGACTCTTGGTCTTGGCCACAGGAAGGTGAGCTGGTCCAATTTCAATAGCATTTTGGCCAGATGCCAGTTGTTCGGGCAGTTTTCTGCGTGTCTTTCTAACATGTAACTTGGTCGCTCGCCGCCTTCTCCCTCCCTTACGTCTTCTGTGTGTGTTTTCAGATGCTGAGCACCGTATTTTCCATGTGTGTTGTGTATGGCACCCATAACAGTCTACTCAGGAAACAAGGATTGCCTCTTCTTAATCAGATTGTTAGCTGGATGATATTAGGTAAGAGGTCAGTCAGATCAAATGAGGTAGCTTTCCATCAGGGTGCATCTTAAAATTATCCATTTACATCTGTATTATTGTTATGAAGCAAGTTTTTTGTGAGAAAATAATAACAGCTAGCTATTACTTCTGTCTCTTGCTAGAATTTGATAAAGCAAATTAGAACTCTTGTGAGCATTCATGTGTTAATAAGAATTCCTGAGAGAATATTTATGACTTGATAATAAGGCTGCATATTCATTCACACCTGATAAAAAGTGATTCCAGGAGGGAAGAAGGTTTTGTGAAGAGATTCCTATGCTGAAGTTTCATGTCAGTTCATAAACTCTCAGTTCTTACATAAGCACTAGGAAGCAGTTAAATTTAATCTCTATTTCCCTTGCCGAAAATAACATTGCTTAGTCACCTCCCAACAAATTACACATTTATAAAGCCATTTGTGTGTTTCAAAGCATTCTCCTCTGTAGTTCTCTGTAGAATGTACATGTGGAGCAAACATGTCATTTAAAGACAGCCTTTTCCTTCCAGTTGGAAGGCAGGAGCAAACTGGAAGTCCAGATTTTTCATTAAAAAGAATACAGTTTGTAATGCCTATGAATGATGTGATGTGCAGTTTAACCTTTATTTGTTTAAAAATGCTTTTTGTTCATTATTTTAATAAAAAAGATCATTGGGTAGAACTTTGCCTTACAAAGAGCATTAAAGGATAGGAGTGTTTTACCTTGGATTACTCTTAAAATCCAAGCAGATGTGTAAAAATACAACAGGAAACAGACATGTATCTCTCAAAGTTTTGATTTGCACCTTTTCCAGACACCTTGGCCATTGTGTAAGTGGAACTGGACAAAAAGTGTCTCTTGTAAATATAACTCTGTTTTTGCTGTATAAACTTTATTTCATTATAGGCTTTATGAGGCCTTTTCTTTTAAATTATCTTGATTACTAGAGTTACTATTTAAATTTATTCTGCATGACAATAGTGAGACTACTCTTTCATTTAAAAAAAAAATGTGTTCAGATGGTACTATGTTCTGATGCTATTCTGTTCCCTGAGAATAATAAAAGATTGCTTAAATGGATTAACAAACTTGCCCCATGGTTAAACAGTTATAAGCCTTTCATCCAGGATGCCCTCCCGAGGTATCTGTCTTCATTCTCTGAAGCATTTAATTCCAAAGGTGGCACTGGTGATAAAGAATCTGCCTGCCATTGCAAGAGCTGTAAGAGAGGCAGGTTCGATCCCTGGGTCAGGAAGATCCCCTGGAGGAGGGCACGGCAACCCACTTCAGTATTGTTGCGCGGAGAATCCCAGGGACAGAGAAGCCTGGTGTGTCCCAGTCCGTAGGGGTGCGAAGAGTGAGACACGACTGAAGCAGCTCAGCGGAGCGTGGCACGCATTGCATCTTAACTGGGAGTATGAGGGATTACACACATTTTCTTTCCAAAGTGGAGGTTGGGAAGTTTATGCTTAGCTGTGCATAGCTGCTTGACCGTGTCCCACTCTTTGCGACGCCATGGACTGTACCCCACCGGGCTCCGCTGCCCATGGGCTTCTCCAAGCAAGAATTCCGGAGTGAGTCACCATGCCCTCCTCCAGGAGATCTTCCCAACCCAAGGATTGAACCCAGGTCTCCCACATTGCAGGCGGATTCTTTACCGTCTGACCCTCAGGGAAGCCCAAGAATACTGGAGTGGGTAGCCTATCCCTTCTTCAGGGGATCTTCCTGACCCAGAAATCAAACCAGTGTCTCCTGCATTGCAGGCGGATTCTTTACCAGCTGAGCTGTAACTGCCCCCGCCCCAGTTCATTTGCTGTCCCCAGTGACGGGACTGCTTTCTGACCCTGGGAGGGAAGATGACGGCCCGCACTTGGATTACTCCTGTCACCACTCTCTTGTGTGGGGAACCCCTTTCCTCCTGTCTCCTTTTCTAACTAGCATGCTGTAACTCTCAATGCAATATTTTGCAGTGGGAAAACTTGGAGGAAAGGGGGGGGTGTTTAGGAAAAATCAACTTCTGTCTTTGAATTAAATGTCTAATTAAGAGAAAAGTTGCTGAATCTTGAGTAATTTTTTTTATTATTTGCATTAGAAAATGATAAATTATTCACTTAGGAGTTATAACAGTGAGGAAGAGCGAGAATATACACTGAAAAAATCTGAACTAAAATATGGTTAAAATGAGGAAGTGTCATTAAACATATGGAGTTTTAAGTGTCTTACAAAAATGAGTAGGGCAAATGTAGTTTCCTTTTAAATGTCACGCAAGCAGTGAATGCAGCTTTAAACCCTGCCCTCTGGGCCCCTGGTACTGACCCCACCCACGCCTGCTCTGTTGCAGCCTCCTCCTTCGTCATGCCACTCCTGAGCCCACCCTTCCTCTTGGATCGACTGTTCAGCATCCTTCTGTCCTCGATGTCGACCTACCTACTTCTAAGTACAGGGTATAAACTGTTCTAAGACTTTAATGTTTAGTAGCAAGTTTTAAATGGTATACTGACCTTTCTCTACCTATTTATCCTCTGGAAATGAAAAACATGTGAATCTTGAGGAATACATTGCAAGCATTTTTACTCTGTAAAAACTGTTAATGCCTTCATCTCTTCTCTTCAGTTTTCTTTGTCTTGCTGTTTTCACAGTGTTGCCTGTTGTCTTGTGTTTCTGTTTATTTCCTGAAGTTGCTAAAATGTTGCTTACATACAGTGTTAGGAAGTTCGGATAGATTGTAGAGGAATTTTAAATCTCAAACTATAACATAAAAATTTTAGTTTTTGTTGCATTCCTTTCATGCCCTGTAAATTATGTTTTGATTTGTTCATTCTTTTTTTGAATACATTTTCTTTTATATTTACCCTTAAATATGTAATAGTCCAAATATTCCTTTTGATTCAGAAACCTTCTAGAATATTTTATTAAAAGTTAAAGAATACATTTTCATTGAAGATTGACGTTTTCTTGTAAAACCAAAAAAGAACAGCTTGATTTGGGTTAGTCTGAAGCATTTTCTAGAAATCAGTGAGAACAATGATACTCTATATGTATGCTTTGAAGAAAAGAGTTCTTCATTTGCTTTTGAATTTTATTTCATCTTTACTTAAATCCTTATGGGGGCAAAAAATAAGCACATTACTCAGTTTCAAAATTCAGTCCAAATATAGGACCTTGATCTCAATTAGAATAAACCTAGGGATTCACCATTGTCCTATCAACAGATTATCATCTATCAATAGTTTATATATGATTTTGTAAAGCCATTTTGTGTCTAAGACTTGGGTTCATTCTTTGGGAAGCCTAATATCTCCTATTTCAGAATTAGAGGGATGTTCTCAAAATCTTTTCATAGTAGACTCTAACATCCTGAGTGATCTAGAACCCAGAGTGATCTAGAACCCAGGAATTCTTGTAGTCTCCTCTTAACAAAGTTCCCCACACCTGTTTTTTCATTTCTCCCCCCAGAACCTGATCTGGGGCGTAGCTGTGAAGATGTAATATGAACAACATGGACATTTTCACCAGTCACCTTGGCTTGAGACTTAGAATTTTCAATTTTCACATAAAACTTGAAGTCTATCAGCATATTCTTACTCAAAGAGTGATAAACAAAAGGAGACTTAATGCTATTCACTCTTTTGTCCTTTATTGGTGAAATTTGAGGATAAGTAGTTCAATTATTATCAGAATCCATTAAAGTATATATGAATTAGAATATGCACAGTGTTTTAGTCTAGATTAAAAAAAAATAGAAGATAAAATCATTTCTAATCCTCCATTTGAGACAGCACACAAGTTTCATTAAGATCATACCCGGAGGTTGTCTTCAGGAGGTGGATGTTTAAGTGCGTTCAGAATATGTGCCATCTCCTACATAGTCACTTAAAGATCAACAAGCCCTTTTCTTTTTTGAACCTTTAAATTCTAAAGAAATCTAAAGATTTAAAGAAATGTATTATAGATTCAAAAATGCAAACAAATCTAGAAATAGATTTGGTTTCCTGGATTAGAAATGAAAGAAGGAAAAGTAATTAACATTGAATTTTAAGTCAAAAATATTTCATAGTGTAGAGTGAGTTAATCATATGACTTATATTAGGGAAAGTATTAGTGTTTTATTTTTTATTAAGAAATTTTTTAGTATTATAGTATTTTAAATTATCAATTTCATTGTTAAAAGATACCAAAGCAGATTATCATAAGCATGTTTAATTTAAAAAAATCTAAAAAGTGAAAAATCACATCTGAAATCAGAATACTAACGATGAGTGTGACCTTATTAATGAATGTATTAAGAAATATATTTTGCAACATCAGAAAATATATTTACCTTTACAAAAAAATTGAAACAGAGACAGCTGAAACAGGAGTCTAATAATTCCAGTTAGTACATTTTTCAGTGGCAAATCAGTTTTGCAAAACATAGTCCACCTGTTATTGTTCCATATCACTATTTTGGACAACCTAGAGGGCTTGCTATGTAAATAAGTATGAATAGTCAGAATTATAGGATATTTAAAAGAAATGCAGTTTTATTACTTTACAAAAGTTCAATAATAGAAATTCTAAATTCTAACAATGCATCCTTGATTAAGTGGATAGAGAAGATACATTTTTAATCAGCATTTGATTATTTTTATGCAAATGGAAGCTATTGTAATACTTGAAAATAGTTCTCTTAAGTTGGTTAAGCATGTTCTTCCAAAATTTTGATTATCCCTTTGCTTAACAAAGTGTAATATAAACCGAATGTCTTTTCAGCCTTGTTCAGTTTTCACAGAGACCAAACTAAGCATATCCTAACTTAGTCTAACTTAGTAAGTACACTGTGAGCCCATAATGACATTTTATTGGTATTTCAGTTTATTAATTCATATACACAGACTTTATATGAGATATTGGTTGTCTAAAGAAATTATCTCTAAAGAAATAAAGTCTCATAAAAAGATTGTCTTTATCAGATTTATTCACCTACATTTTACAAAAATTGTATTTAATAGTTTTGAAAAGAAGTATATCTGTAGCGCTATTTGTTGAACTATGGAATTTCTGTTTTTATGTATTAGAAAAGAATAATTTCACATATAAGTACAAATATTTTTTAAGATCATGTTTCTTTTTATCCTCAAAGTATACCTTCATTCAATTAGTCAACAGTTGTTTTTCTTCACATTTCTAGTATCCTGAACACTCGACAGACATACAGATAGAATAATTAGTATACCCCAGGTCTGTAACAGTTGTAAACTTCTATAAAATGTGGACTCTGTTTTAAAATGTTAGGCAATTATAAAATGCAGCAATTCAGTTCAGTCGCTCAGGCATGTCCGACTCTTTGTGACCCCATGGACTGCAGCCCGCCAGACCTCCCTGTCCATCACCAACTCCCGGAGTTTACTCTAACCCATGTCCATCGAGTTGGTGATGCCATCCAGCCATCTCATCCTCTGTCTTCCCCTTCTCCAGCCTTCAATTTTTCCCAACATCAGGGTCTTTTCAAATGAGTCAGCTCTTCGCATCAGGTGGGCAAAGTATTGGAGTTCAGCTTCAACATCAGTCCTTCCAATGAATATTCAGGACTGATTTCCTTTAGGATGGACTGGTTGAATCTCCTTGCAGTCCAAGGGACTCTCAAGAGTCTTCTCCAACACCATAGTTCAAAAGCATCAATTCTTTGGCACTCAGCTTTCTTTATAGTCTAGCTCTCACATCCATACATGACCACTGGAAAAACCATAACTTTGACTCGACGGACATTTGTTGGCAAAGTAATGTCTCTGCTTTTTAATATGCTGTCTAGGTTGGTCATAACTTTCCTTCCAAGGAGCAAGCATCTTTTAATTTCATGCCTGCAGTGAAATCACCATCTGCAGTGATTTTGGAGCTCCAAAAAATAGTCTCCCACTGTTTCCACTGTTTCCCCATCTATTTTCCATGAAGTGATGGGACTGGATGCCATGATCTTAGTTTTCTGAATGTTGAGCTTTAAGCCAGCTTTTTCACTCTCCTCTTTCACTTTCATGAACAGGCTCTTTAGTTCTTCTTCAGTTTCTGCCGTAAGGGTGGTGTCATCTGCATATCTGGGATTACAGATATTTCTCCTGGCAATCTTGATTCCAGCTTGTGCTTCATTGATTCCAGCATTTTTCATGCTGTACTCTGCAATTAAATTATCATAAATTAATTGTGAATAATATGATATAAAGAATGACTAGAGAAAGGGATTGAATTGGTGCCATCAGGGACTAAGGTGAAAATTGAACTATATATTCAAGAATGGCTAGGATGCAGGCATTCTAAATCTTTCCTTTTCAATTTTTTTTTTAATCACTGTAAACATTGTACAATCACATTTTGCAAAGTAGAGATAAGGAAGAAAATCATATACTAACCCTACCCCTCCTCTTGATGTTCTGGCTTATTTCCTTCCAGTCTTAGCTCTGTACTTATCTTTTTAATACAGTATTAATGATAGTCCATGTACTATTTTGTATCTTTATTTTCTACTTAATTTTAGAAGCATTTTCCCAGGTGGTTCACAGGCTTCCTAAGAATCATTTTAATAGATTTTTAATATTATGTAATATGGCTACTCCTTGATGTTTTTATTATTCCCTTATTTTTGGTCACTTTATTTCTAAATCTTAGTATCATAAATAATATTTTGAGTTACATGTTTTGCATAAGCTTTTTATATAGTTATTAATAAATTATTTTCTTTGCTCACTTCTCAGCTGTATTATAAGTGGGCCATAGAATATGAACTTTTTTTTTACTTTTGTCTTAAGAACAGCACCAGTTTATAATATTACCAACAACCTATGAGGGGACGCACTTCATCATATCCGTCACAGTATCTGTACTTTAATTTGTAAATAAAAATATCAAAAGCTATTTTAGTAGGCCAAAAACAGTACAGCTTTGTGTATTTTCTGCACTTGTTTTACTAATAATGTTTTCTCACATATGTATTGTCTGTTTGTATCCTTGGATGATTAAAAACCTTATATACCAAGTGATTTATATATGCTTTCTCAAAGCTGAATGTTTTCTTCTGCCCAATTTTCAGGATTTTGTTTTACGATTGGTGGTCAAATTTAAAGGATTTTGGTTTTCTTGCTTTCTCTTGTTTAGGAAATAGTACCATATGGATTAGAGTTTGGTAGTTGAAAAAGTTGAAAAATGAGAAATACAGGTTGTTTTGTTTTGATTTGGTTTGTTTAATTTTGTTTTGTAATTTCCACCCAGTTAAGTAGCTCATCAACAAACACTTCTGAGCTGGACCTGTGTGGTGAGAAGACTAGCGTAGTCAGAGATTTTCCAGACCAGTGGGGAAGGCGTGTTAGTAATTAACGTGATCAGAGCAGTATGATATCTACCGTCATGTGTAGAGTATCTGGGGGATTACGGAAATGAAATATGTCTTAAACTAGGGCAGAAAATGATTAGAAAAAGCATCTGACACTGTGTTATCTCATGAACATTTCTCCTTTGTCTACATTATAATTTCCACATTATACACCAGCCTCAAGATGTACTGTACATCATTTAACCAAACTCCCCTGTGAATATTAGGTTGTTTTCTTGTTCTTCTTTTCTGTAAACATATTACCACAAACGTCTTCATGTGGGACTCATGGTGCATATGTCTGATTATTTTCTCAGGGTAAATTCCTAGAAGGAACATTATTAGATTATACTATGTGAATAGTTTTGAGGTTCTTGATGCATAGTACTAGATTGCCTTACAGGAAGTATTTATTATATTTTTATAATTATTATTTTATTATACTTTTATGTGGATTATTTTTTTAACATGAGTAAATATTTTAAGTGGCTGTGGAATCTATTTTTTAATTTCTATGTCAGTTATCAGTGAAGTCAAACATATTTTAATGTATTTATAGGCTCTTTTTTTGAGAGGTTTGTATTCCTATATTATAGCCATTTTTTGAAAAAAATTGAAATGTTTATCTAGCTGTTCTCTTTATATTAATAATTTTTACCTTGTCATTTACCTTATGAATGACTTAAATATCTCTACTATTTTAAACGTGTAATGGTCTCAAGTTTTGATAAATTAAAAAAAAAAAAGATGGTGTTGATATTTAAATGTTGCTTTCTTTTCCTACTTTCTTCCTCTGGAAAACCTAAAAAAATTAAGTTTTGTGTTAACGTAACTTAGAAGTATTAGCAAAATTGTTTTAATTTGCATTTGTATTTGTTTAATTTTCTTCTTTTCATTTGCGCCCTCTCACTTCCACCCCCACCTGCAACCCCTTAGGTATGAAGCTCTCTTTCCGATAGTGTTGTCATGTTTGATGTTTGTCTGGATACACATGGAACAAGAGACCCTGCAGCAATCCGTTGTTTCCTGTAAACAGAAGGTAGCTTGTCAGAATCCCTCTTGCATTTGAGAATACTAAAATATTCTCCATTCTAATCCCATGAGGAAGTTGCAATGTTATTTCATCAAAAAGTCTACTTAAGACTTCCCTGGCTGTTAAGACTTTGCACTTCCAGTGCAGGGGGTGTGGATCTGATCCCTGGTTGGGGAACTAAGATCTCCACATGCCACACAGCACAGCCAGAACAAAAAATTCTACTTAAAAATTTGTACTACTTAACATATTAATAATTAAGTTAATAATTAAGTCAAACAGTTTATAAGGAGATTTTCATATAGAAAAGCATGATTTTATTGTTTTATGAACATATGGGTTGGGCTTTTCTTAAAGATTGTTTGTGACTCTCTGATATAAAAAGCCATTAATATAAGTGAAAGAACAGAGGGCAAAGAATGTTATCTTGTTGCCCTGTTTTCACATTTAATTTTTCTTTCCTTCAATTTATTTTTGTTGGAAGAATATTCATGTTGCCACACATCAATTTATGAATTTGATCATGAAGTGAGATATGTGTTCCCAGGGTTATTTTTCTCTTTCTAGTTATTCTAATCCAAAATGCTTATTCTGTCACCTTAGTGATTGTGGCCTCAATCCAAATCTTAGACTGTTTATTCAACATAATGTCCTTTGAATTGGCTAAAAGCCAACCAAATATTAAGGCTACCTTTATCATGCTGAGCTGGAGAGTTGATTTATATCTCTTGCCCTTATTTCAAAACTGAAGATATTTATAAGGAATTGATGGTAGCATATTTACAGTTTTACTGAGGTCAGATAAAATGAATGCTGCAGGAAAATGCTTTCATAGTTGATCCATTGATTCATCCTTAACTGGTTCTAGTTGAGTTCACAAAGAGTACTTGATGATTTAGAATAAATAATTTCAATAAAGAAGAAACTTTATTGAAGTATTATTGAATAGTTCCTGGTTTTTAATGTTCAGCTCTGGAGTATTAAAGCAATACATAAAAATTAATTTTGATTAGATTCAAGTAAATGGTAGACTGTCTTTAGTATTAAATATTCAATATTTTAATAACTAAATCTTATTAAATTAAAAATGAGGCTCGTTGTGTTATTTTTAAATTCTATGTTTTAGCTGAAAGATATGTCTCTTTCTAGAGAAGAGGATTAACGCATCCTCCGAACTTAGTAGACAATTACATGGGAAGTAGGAGAAAGGGAAAGTCTCACTTTAAAGTTGTCCATGAGTTTTTGTTTTGTGGGGGAAGGGGGGTTAAACAAGAGTGCACCCATCTTATTGGAATTGAGAGACTTTCTATTTTACCAGGACAGAAATATTTTACTTATTTATGCAGAGAAATATTTAGTTTATCATGCTTTTTAATATCTTCCCATACTTGAGTTTGAGAAGATCAACTGAGAAATCAGGTGTTAGAAAAGGGAAGGATTATAATAGTGATTTTAAAGTGAAGCATTTATACAGGATAAGGAAAACCCAGTTCTCACTTTTGTTACACATACGGCAATACTGCAAGTCTGTTCAGTATATTATTAACAGTGTATTTTACCTTGGCAGATTTTATTAGGTGATATTAAGCTGTAGGAAAAGATTTCTTATTTTTTGTGTGTCAGTGCAGGCTCTTCCCAGCTGCTGTAACTGAGACGGTGAGCGTGCCCTGGCGGTCGAAGGAAGCAGCCTGCGCCCGTGTGTTCATCTCTCTTCTTATCCCGCAGGTCTCCACCATCCAGTTCACCTGCAATACCGACGCAGCCCAGTGTCGAGACCTCTGCCTGGATGACATCCGCAGGGCCTTTTTCCTTGTATCCTTTCTGGAGTTTTGTTTTAAGGCGCTGCAGCTTCCCGTTTAATGAAACAGGAGAAGTGCTGGGGAGCAGGGGTGCAGTTGCCGCCTGTCGCGTGGTAGTGGTGTTATTAACCTTGGAGGCTGTTTCACTACCCTCCCAAACATGGTTTTCTCATCCAGATTGCACTTCAAAAAAGTTCTGAAACTGTAGAGAAGCATAAAGAACGATACAGCAGGCAAATGAGTTAGGTTTGCATCTTTTTATGTGTACTCTATAAGGTACTCACATAGCGTGTCTCAGGAGGTTGCTGGACCACCTCAGAGGCGCTACTGTGTCACAGCTGTGAGCATTAGAAGTTTGGAAGAGGCCGTGACGGAACGCCGTCTCGCTTTGGGACGGCGAGCTGACGGGCTTCCGGGTGTCCGTCGGGAGGCGTCTCCTCTGAGCGGACACAGTGGAGTCTGGGCCACCGAGGCCGGAAGGTCAGCGCTCCGCTTCTCTCCTCGCCTCTTGCCTGCAGTCTCGATTTGGCTCTCTGTCTGTGCCGACTCCTTCCACTGAGCCTGTGCTAATGCGACGCTTCTTCCCCTGGCCCCTGCCCCCTCCTGAATTGCCCTCCATCTGTGCCTTGTGCTTACAGCCTAGCTCCCTGGCCCCTGCCTCCTCCTGAATTGCCCTCCATCTGTGCCTTGTGCTTACAGCCTAGCTCCCTGCTGCTGCCGTCTCCTGCCGTTTATGTGCCATGCCCTCCGCCTAGATGGGCGCTTTTGAATGCTTGTCTTTGCTGTGCTGACACCCTCTCGTGGTCTGCAGGCCCTTCCTGATTGCACAGTGTTTGGTTTCACTTGGCTAGTCTTACAGTATTCAGCGCACTTGATTTCTTTCTTTTCCTTTGTCCTCCAGAACGCGATCCAGGTTCTCTTCTCAGATTATACACCACCTCTCTTATTCTTCACGAAAACTCACTCTTCCTTTGCTCTTGAACCATGCATGCTTTTCCTCCGAGCTCTGTCATTTATCTTCTCCTCTAAACGTGCCTCTCCTATAGCTTTGACTGACACCTCTGTACAGACACCTCTGAGACCGACTTCTCCAGCCCTGACCTCTAGAGTCACGTGGCTACCATCCTGCCGCCGGCGTGCGTGCCAAGTTGCTTAGTCGTGTCCGACTGTGTGACATGGTCTGTAGCCCACCAGGCTCCTCTGTCCATGGGATCCTCCAGGCCAGAGTCCTGGACTGGGTTGCCGTGCTGTCTTGCCCAGGAATCGAACCCATGTCTCATGTCTCCTGCATTGGCAGGCGGGTTCTTTACCACCAGCTCCACCACACCCTGCTGGGCATCACCAAATACACGTCCACACTGACTGACGACTGCCCACCCCTCTCCAGAGTCAGTCTCTGCCTGACCTCATCTCACTTAATGTCGTTGCTGCACTCCCAGCCTCCCGGGCCGTCAGACTGGTCGTGCTTAACTAGCCCCCGACCGAGGTCCCACGGCTTCTCTCCTCCATGGCCACTCTGACCACACTGGTTCAGACTTTCCTGTCCCCAACATATGGACTATTAAAAGAGCTTCATAATTGAATTTCCTGCCTCTAATTATTAGTCTCCCTGATCAAATATTTCACTATTGTTGGTATTTCTTGTTTGTATCACTCACTGAAAATGCTTGCTAACTCTTCAACATCTCCACAATAAAATTCAAGGCTTTTTATTAATATGCCACTAGTCTGTATTTCTTGCTTCGTGTTTATGTACCCTTCAGCAATACCCTTATTTTCCCATTGTTTACCTTTAGTGAATATTACCTACTTCTACCTATCATCAAAATTTTAGTTACCAATACCCTTATTTTCCCATTGTTTACCTTTAATGAATATTACCTACTTCTACCTATCATCAAAATTTTAGTTACCATATGAGCACTTTATGCTGTTTTATTTATAATTATATTTTTAGTGCCGAGCTCTGCCTCTGACATACTAAATGATAAATATTGGTTGGTTAGTTAATTGGTTGAATGCATAGAACCTTGAGTATGTTTAAGGCTCAAGTCACCGACTCAAATACTACTTCAGTGAAATTTGTCGTGATTCATACTTCCTCTTCACTGTTTCTGTACCGCTTTTGTGTATGTGTCTATAATAATTAAGTAAGTAACATTTATCGAGCACTTTCAGGGGACCAAACTCTGTTTTAAATGCTTTACTAGCAATAAGTTCTTAGACACCAATAAAACTAATATCTACTTTTTATTACTGCACTATTACAAATATAAGTTGAAGAAATGTCAAAAATGTTTAAAACTTTCTCGTGATCTAATTGAATCCTTTTAAAACATGGCACCTGAGCCTCCTGAAGAACCTGACGCATCTCGTGTGTAGTGGACCCGGCGAGCATATGTAAACTGAAACTGTGTTTCAGCTGAAAATGTCTATCGCTTCTTTTTTTCATCTTTGGCTCCCAGCTACGGATAACAATAATCCAATGCTTATGTGAGAGGGGAGGAAAGTAGTAACCTTCCCAGGGTGACCAGTGACAAGCGAGTGTGACTCCCAGACCTTGCTGTCTTAGTATGCTGCTTGTTCAGCCTGGTTCTTTCCAAATACATTCACAAGGAAATATGTTGGAACGCTCATTTTCAGCAATTTACCACCAAATGTGCAAGTAGAGAAAGCAAATTACCCTCATGGTAGAATAGATATGTCTTCTCTAAATGAAAAGGAATTTTTATGGATTCTGACTTGTTTTAGCGTTTCCTTTAACTCGATTTAGGTTTTCTTCTTAGTGACAGCCTTTTTTGGAACTGGAAATATAGCTTCTGTTAACAGGTAATTTTAAATAAAAACTATATATATATATATAACCAGAAAATATACAAATTAGGGATTTTGTTCTTGCTTTTTATACTGAAGGATGTATTTTGGAAATTGGTACATATTGGCGCATACAAGTCTATCTCATTCATTTTACTGACTTTGCAATAATTCATTTAAGAAAATATTTATTTTCTTCATTTTGGGCTGCGCTGGGTCTTTGTTGCTGCACGCGGGCTTTCTCAGGTTGCGAAGAGCCGGGGCTCCTCTCTGGTAGGTGTGGCTCATGGGCACAGTGCTGCCCCCAAGCTCCACCACACATGCAGTTGCTCCACAGCTGGTGGGATCTTCCCGGATCAGGGATCAAACCTGTGTCTCCTGCATTGGCAGGTGGATTCTTCACCACTGAGCCACCAGAAAAGCCCCCATAATAATTCTTGATACACTGTATACTTGTGCTATAGTAAGAGTAGCTTTCAGAAAATTAGTTTAAACATCCTTTTCAGAAGAACAGTCAAGTTGCAATAATGTGAATTCTAAAATCCCTTTTCTTGTTGTTGATTCCTTAGCTTTGACCCTTCCTCCGTCTACTGCTTTCTGACCGTGTTTAGTCCTTTCAAGATGGGAGCCCTGATAATGTGGAAGGTTGGTTTTCTTCTTTTCTTAAGATACTGATTAATTAAGATTATGAACTCATTGTCCCATGAAGATCATGTGATATGTGACATTAAGATTATGAAGTGGCAGAGTTAAGTAGCTGGAAACTAGATGCCTTTGCAGACACTGCTGCGTGGGAGTGGGGGACGCTTTAGCCTTTGCTCCAAAAGAGCGTTAATCTCCTTGGTTTAGTCTTAAGCCCATTTAACTTCAAAAAAGTAGAGAATCTCTGTTAGTCCCAGGAAGTCCTATCAAAGGTGATTAAAGCCTGGGAAGTGAAGGGTGGATCAAAACTGCCTTGCTTCTCAAGATCAAAGGCTCCCCGAAGCCGTGTTCCCCACCCACGAGACTGCCAACACATTATCATCTTTTCTCATAATCCTTGTACCTAGAATTGATTTATTCATTCAATAAATATGTCATTGAAGGCTTATCAGCACCAACTGGGTCCTGAGGATTCTAAGATAATGACAAATTATCAGCTTTCCAGGGGTTCAGACTCTCCAGTGGAATGTAATTCACATTCTTTCCCTTTCTCTCTAGGATCGTTAAGCTTGTCTTATTCCCTGTACCATAGTGTACATTCTGTGCACTTAGTATGCATTTGTTTAAATCCAAGAACTAACATCTGCCTAAAATCTGATTGCTTCCTGTTCAGATCACATAAGTAATAATTGTTGAAAGTATGTGTATCTTAATAGGATTAATATCCTGTTTTGTTACTGCACAAATGCAAAGGTGATTTTAAGAAGTGTTAAAAATATGCTCATTTTCTCATGTCACATTCTCTGTTATTTTGAAATGTGTATTAATAGTTTCTTTAGTCTTTATGTACATTTTTCTTGATGGTGGTAGTTTTTTTCTCAGTCTGTTAAAGATCATGAGCCTTTAATTAAAAATAAGAAAAAAAGAAAGAAAAACTAAAGTTTACATTAAATGCTCAATCTGTAATCTCCAGCTTAATTCAGGCAGCTTTACTGATGAAACGTATCTGGTCACTTTCACTGACCGATGTGGCTGGAAGTGAAAGTCCTCTTAGAATTCTTTCACTCATGTAGCCTTCACTTGAACAGGAATCTTATGCAGTTTTGAACATCATCTCTTTTCCATATTTTCTCCCTCCCCTCTTTGTTTAAGCATCTTGTGTGTGTGTATTTTTAACTGGTCATTGGAAAACAGTATCTCAAAATATTAATGGTGTTATTTCTGGCTTATAGATTTTTTTTCAACCAATGTAAATTTTATTATACCTTTCTCCATTTTTTTTAACAGAGTATGAATTTTATAATCAGGAATAAATTAGTGTTGAAATAAAACAACAGAAAGCAATGGTTAAGCAGCTAAATCATGTTAATAGAGTTGTAGTGACAGGTAACCAGATGAGTTCAAGAGTCTGTGAATCAGATCTTTAGGCTTCGTGATTAATTTGATGTGGCCCTTGTGTGCCTTTCACACCCTCTTGGGATCATGTGAACATGGTCATTCATTATTATAATGAGTTCAGTAGAACAAAAATTTGGAGTAGGCTTTATTTGAAATATTTGTTATTATCTCTTTACTACCTATGCTGTTGATGTGGATTTCTAAATCCATTTCATCACTATTCTGTATGTCATTGGTATCATGATTTTATTTCAGTGTTTGCTTTCCACTAATACAGATAAATTTTGAGAAATTGAAATATTTCTTCAAATGCTACAGGCACCCACGGCATCATTTGTTTTTCTTTCAAACAGATTTTAATCCCCTTTGTTCTTGTGATGTGTGCTTTTGAAGCTGTTCAGTTAACTACTCAGTTATCTTCTAAAAGGTGAGATGAATGCTTTGAATTTGTTCATTTTTAGGAAATGAAAGTAAACATTTGATGGTATTTTCTGTGATTGCTATTAAGGTATTGTAACATAGCTTGTTTACTATAAAAATGAGGGAAAAAATGTTCCATCCTTTTAGCCGGAATTGTGTCGTCATTAGAGGAAATAGCTGATTAGAACCCTTAACATAAAAATATGCTTTTTCAACTATAAAATATCATTAGAATGCTGTCCCAGCTAGAGAGGAGCCGCCCTAGAAAACTATAAAATATAAATCTCAAATTCTTGTAGTTAGTAATACATGTTCATTGTAGATATAGCTGTGCCTACAACTCTAGGTGATATCATTGTGTTTTCTTTTGGATTCTTTCATAAATGTGTATTAGATAAATGTGTTATAACATTATGTCATTTTATATGGGTTGAAATTAGCGTCTAGATGTCCCTAATTTATGTGGTTTCTCAATCTTGATCACTACACTTTTGACAAATAGAATAGGAAGTATTGTTTCTGAGTTTCTAGGACTTTGTGGAGCAGTCAGTGTGTAATCACAGACTCTGGAGGAGAAACTGTCAGCCACACTGTTTGCTCGTTCATCTGCACAGCGCTGATCGGCCTTTCTGAAAGAAACTTGAGATGAATAAGTAGTTTCCTAGCAGTTTTATTGTTTTTTAATCAAACTGGAATATTCACTACTGAAAGTATAATGAATATTAGAATAAATGTGCATGTTCTTCTTGATGAAGTTAAGCTAGAATTGAGTGTAGCATATTATTATGCATATGCCATAATTTTTTTTAAAAAGGTTTTCTTCCACGTTTCAAAAATAGTAGAAATCTTATTTCTAGTCTACTTTAGTATATTTTTACAGGATTTTTACTTGAATTTAACATTAAAAGCACTGTACTTTGTCAATACCACATAGAAAATACTGACTTATATGCAATTTAAAAAAAAACTAGTAAAGTGACAGACATGTGCTTTCCTGCATCTCTGTTAGTGAACACAATTTTTTAAGAAGGACTTTTAATTAAAGTCAAAATAAGAAGAGCTTGTGGAGAAGGCAGTGGCACCCCACTCCAGTGCTCTTGCCTGGAAAACCCCAGGGACGGAGGATCCTGGCAGCTATAGTCCATGGGTTTGAAAAGAGTCAGAAACCACTGAGCGATTTCACTTTCACTTTCTTTTAAGAAGTGCACGGCACATGTGGGACAAGAAATAGAAGACTCATCAAAATATGTGTGTGTGTGTGTGAGTATAGTAATTTTAACTTGAGACTCAGTTCAGTTCAGTTCAGTCGCTGAGTCGTGTCCGACTCTTTGTGACCCCATGAATTGCAGCACGCCAGGCCTCCCTGTCCACAACCAACTCCCGGAGTCCACCCAAACCCATGTCCATTGAGTCGGTGATGCCATCCAACCATCTCATCCTCTGTCGTCCCCTTTTCCTCCTGTCCTCAATCTTTCCCAGCATCAGGGTCTTTTCAAATGAGTCAGCTCTTCGCATTAGGTGGCCAAAGTATTAGAGTTTCAGCTTTAGCATCAGTCCTTCCAGTGAACACCCAGGACTGATCTCCTTTAGGATGGACTGGTTGGATCTCCTTGCTGTCCAAGGGACTCTCAAGACTCTTCTCCAACACCACAGTTCAAAAGCATCAGTTCTTCGGCGCTCAACTTTCTTCATAGTCCAGCTCTCACATCCATACATGACTATTGGAAAAACCATAGCCTTGACTAGACGGACCTTTGTTGGCAAAGTAATGTCTCTGCTTTTTAATATACTGTCTAGGTTGGTCATAACTTTCCTTCCAAGGAGTAAGTGTCTTTTAATTTCATGGCTGCAGTCACCATCTCCAGTGATTTTGGAGCCCCCCAAAAATAAAGTCTGACACTGATTCCACTGTTTCCCCATCTATTTGCCATGAAGTGATGGGACCAGATGCCATGATCTAGTTTTCTGAATGCTGAGCTTCAAGCCAACTTTTTCACTCTCTTTCACTTTCATCAAGAGACTCTTTAGTTCCTCTTCACTTTCTGCCATAAGCGTGGTGTCATCTGCATATCTGAGGTTATTGATATTTCTCCTGGCAATCTTGATTCCAGCTTGTGCTTCCTCCAGCCCAGTGTTTCTCATGATGTACTCTGCATATAAGTTAAATAAGCAGAGTGACAATATACAGCCCTGACATACTCCTTTTCCTATTTGGAACCAGTCTGTTGTTCCATGTCCAGTTCTAACTATTGCTTCCTGACCTGCATACAGGTTTCTCAAGAGGCAGGTCAGGTGGTCTGGTATTCCCATCTCTTTCAGAATTTTCCACAGTTTGTTGTGATCCACACAGTCATAGGGTTTGGAATAGTCAGTAAAGCAGAAATAGATGTTTTTCTGGAGCTCTCTTGCTTTTTCAGTGATCCCAGCAGATGTTGGCAATTTGATCTCTGGTTCCTGTGCCTTTTCTAAAACCAGCTTGAACATCTGGAAGTTCACGGTTCACGTATTGCTGAAGCCTGGCTTGGAGAATTTTGAGCATTACTTTACTAGCGTGTGAGATGAGTGCAATTGTATGGTAGTTTGAGCATTCTTTGGCACTGCCTTTCTTTAGTATTGGAATGAAAACTGACCTTTTCCAGTCCTGTGGCCACCACTGACTTTTCCTAATTTGCTGGCATATTGAGTGCAGCACTTTCACAGCATCATCTTTGAGGATTTGAAATAGCTCAACTGGAATTTCATCACCTCCACTAGCTTTGTTCATAGTGATGCTTCCTAAGGGCCCACTTGACTTCACATTCCAGGATGTCTGGCTCTAGGTGAGTGATCACATCGTTGTGATTATCTGGGTCGTGAAGATCTTTTTTGTACAGTTCTTCTGTGTATTCTTACCAACTCTTCCTAATATCTTTCGCTTCTGTTAGGTCCCTACCATTTCTGGCTTTATTGAGCCCATCTTTGCATGAATTGTTCCCTTGGTATCTCTGATTTTCTTGAAGAGATCTCTAGTCTTTCCCATTCTGTTGTTTACCTCTGTTTCTTTGCATTGATCGCTGAGGAAGGCTTTCTTACGTCTCCTTGCTATTCTTTGGAACTCTGCATTCAGATGGGTATAGCTTTACTTTTCTTCTCTACATTTAGCTTCTCTTCTTTTCACAGCTATTTGTAAGACCTCCTCAGACAGCCATTTTGCTTTTTTTCATTTCTTTTTCTTGGAGATGGTCTTGCTCCCTGTCTCCTGTACAATGTCACGAATCTCCGTCCATAGTTCTTCAGGCACTCTATCAGATCTAGTCCCTTAAATCTATTTAGTACAGTGTAAAGCTAAATAAAAAGGGAGAGAACTGAGGCAAAGAAGGCAAAGAAGGCAAAGTGTGACTTTATAAATGTCTTCTCTTTTGACCTTTAAACCTTTATAAGTCACTGGCATTCCCCCATAATATTATACTGACCACTCAAACTTCATTTGTGTACATTGAACTCAGCGAGTCCCTTTCCTCCTGGTGACCTCTAGCTGCTCCTCCTGTTTTTTTATCTAACCGGTTGTGGAAGGTCAAGTCTGCCCATCCCTCATTGCTGTTTCCACTTGCTGAAAGTCACCAGTGTCATCTCTTCTTTCTGTCCACGTTTCAATCACTGCCACAGCCCACTATTGCCATTCCTCTTCCATGCCCTTAGCTGACCTCCCTGCGTGTACTCCTGTCCTCCGAGAACTGTTATCTACGCCACAGACAGTGCAGCCTTTAGACCTCCCAGTGGCCCCTGGTTCCCGGGGAGGCCAGTCCTGCAGCCCTGGCTGCGGCCCGGCTGGCCCCTGTGGCCCGCCTGCACGTCTCATGCTTGTTTCCCGCAGCCCTTTGCTCACACTCTCGTCCGGCTGGCCGCTCGCTGTTCCTCGGGCACCACGCACGTTTCCGCCGCACGCCCTTGTTTGGTGCACGCATGGTCTGCCTGCAGTGCTGCTGCTCATCCAGTTTCATGATCCCCGCCGCACATCCAGGGCTCTGCTTAAATGTCTCCTCCTCATAGATACTCGCCCAGTCATTCCACTTTTCTTCCTAACATTTAACACCACCTGACCTTTTCTTGTTATTGCAAACATTCTATTTATTATTTGTCTCCCTGAATTAGATGGTAAGCTCTGGTCACCTGATCTATTACCACCAATAAGCACAGTGACCAACATACCATAGAAACTGAAAACTTTTGTGCTAAATTTGTGGTAGAAGTTACTAGCATAAGATAAAATTGGAAATGGCTACTCCTGCACATTGTGACATTTCTCTTAGACACAAGGCTGACTTAACGATCTTCTACCTTTCGATTCCCTAGAGCACTAAAAAAAAATGTGGCCCAGGAAAAATTAAACTTGGTGGAAAGAACACCAAATAACACTGTAAAAAGCTAAAACCACCCAGAGTAAAATGTGTAACACAAGGATCATAAGGGATCCTGGTAACGATGGAAACACTTGGTGTGTTGCCAGCACTGGTGGCAGCATCCGGGTTGTGGTCTTGCCCCACAGCTTAGAAAGACTCACCAGTGGGGGAAACTGGGCAGAGGGCACGTGGGCTCCCTCTATGTCATTTCTGCAACTACACGTGAATCTGTAATTATCTAAAATAAAAGGCTTAATTAAAAAAATCATAATTCATGTCCCTTTCATATACTTGAAATAGATATTCAAAACGTTCAGTGACATTTTGAAGTCCAGCCCGTCACTGTGGGACAGGAGCCCATGATAATGTGAAAAGAGCTTTTGTCAGATCATTTTCAGGAGCGGGAATACTGATACCAGGATGTGAGGCCATTTGATTGTCCTAGTTTTGATTTTAATATGCTTTTAAAATGCTCCCGCTGTGTTACATGTGTTTTTTATTTATTTTTTTCCAGTCCCGCTGTGTTACATGTGTTTTTTATTTATTTTTTTCCAGTCTTTTCCTCATGGTTATCACCATATCAGACATCATGGCTTTGGTAAGACATTACTGGATATTCAATATAAATAAGATTGAGAAGCTAAACATCAAGTTAATTAAATCAAGTGAAATATGAGTGCATTTCTGTATATGAACTCTTTAGACACTGAATTATAAGTGCTGACATAAGTTACACATAAATTACTTTCTTTTTTTTTTTTACTTTCAATGCAGTAAGAATGCTCTTCTTAGGGTGTCAAAAATCATCTAACTTGATTTATTAGAATCTGTATTTTATACATAGTCTTCTATGGTGCATTGTATTAACTTCCATAGGAAGTTAGGTGTTAACTTCCATAGGAAGAAAACATAAAGAGCTAACTTTAGATTCAGGTAATATATCATTTTCCTGCTTGAAATGTTGATTTTTAACCTTTTAGTCAGATTGAAGAAGAAAGGAAAAAAGAGTGGGGAGAAGGAAGGGGATAGGGAAGAGGAAATAGGATAAAGTTAAGACCACAGCTCTCATGAGGAGTTCTGGAGAGGGCCAGGTAGCTGGGCCTCTCACATGTAGTGTATGAACACACAGACCCTGTGTTACACCTGCAGGCTCAGAGGTCCCCCTCACTACCCTCAGGTTTGAGCAGTAGCTGGGCCTCTTACATGTAGTGTATGAACACATAGACCCTGTGTTACACCTGCAGGCTCAGAGGTCCCCCTCACTACCCTCAGGTTTGAGCAGTAGCTGGGCCTCTTACATGTAGTGTATGAACACATAGACCCTGTGTTACACCTGCAGGCTCAGGAGGTCCCCCTCACTACCCTCAGGTTTGAGCAGTAGCTGGGCCTCTTACATGTAGTGTATGAGCACACAGACCCTGTGTTACACCTGCAGGCTCAGGAGGTCCCCCTCACTACCCTCAGGTTTGAGCAGTAGCTGGGCCTCTTACATGTAGTGTATGAACACATAGACCCTGTGTTACACCTGCAGGCTCAGGAGGTCCCCCTCACTACCCTCAGGTTTGAGCAGTAGCTGGGCCTCTTACATGTAGTGTATGAGCACACAGACCCTGTGTTACACCTGCAGGCTCAGGAGGTCCCCCTCACTACCCTCAGGTTTGAGCAGTAGCTGGGCCTCTTACATGTAGTGTATGAACACACAGACCCTGTGTTACACCTGCAGGCTCAGGAGGTCCCCCTCACTACCCTCAGGTTTGAGCAGTAGCTGGGCCTCTTACATGTAGTGTATGAACACACAGACCCTGTGTTACACCTGCAGGCTCAGGAGGTCCCCCTCACTACCCTCAGGATTGAGCAGTAGCTGGGCCTCTTACATGTAGTGTATGAGCACACAGACCCTGTGTTACACCTGCAGGCTCAGGAGGTCCCCCTCACTACCCTCAGGTTTGAGCAGTAGCTGGGCCTCTTACATGTAGTGTATGAACACATAGACCCTGCTTTACACCTGCAGGCTCAGGAGGTCCCCCTCACTACCCTCAGGTTTGAGCAGTAGCTGGGCCTCTTACATGTAGTGTATGGACACATAGACCCTGCGTTACACCTGCAGGCTCAGGAGGTCCCCCTCACTACCCTCAGGTTTGAGCAGTAGCTGGGCCTCTTACATGTAGTGTATGAACACATAGACCCTGCGTTACACCTGCAGGCTCAGGAGGTCCCCCTCACTACCCTCAGGTTTGAGCAGTAGCTGGGCCTCTTACATGTAGTGTATGAACACATAGACCCTGTGTTACACCTGCAGGCTCAGAGGTCCCCCTCACTACCCTCAGGTTTGAGCAGTAGCTGGGCCTCTTACATGTAGTGTATGAACACATAGACCCTGCTTTACACCTGCAGGCTCAGGAGGTCCCCCTCACTACCCTCAGGTTTGAGCAGTAGCTGGGCCTCTTACATGTAGTGTATGAGCACACAGACCCTGTGTTACACCTGCAGGCTCAGGAGGTCCCCCTCACTACCCTCAGGTTTGAGCAGTAGCTGGGCCTCTTACATGTAGTGTATGAACACATAGACCCTGTGTTACACCTGCAGGCTCAGGAGGTCCCCCTCACTACCCTCAGGTTTGAGCAGTAGCTGGGCCTCTTACATGTAGTGTATGAACACACAGACCCTGTCTTACACCTGCAGGCTCAGGAGGTCCCCCTCACTACCCTCAGGTTTGAGCAGTAGCTGGGCCTCTTACATGTAGTGTATGAACACATAGACCCTGTGTTACACCTGCAGGCTCAGGAGGTCCCCCTCACTACCCTCAGGTTTGAGCAGTAGCTGGGCCTCTTACATGTAGTGTATGAACACATAGACCCTGTGTTACACCTGCAGGCTCAGGAGGTCCCCCTCACTACCCTCAGGTTTGAGCAGTAGCTGGGCCTCTTACATGTAGTGTATGAACACACAGACCCTGTCTTACACCTGCAGGCTCAGGAGGTCCCCCTCACTACCCTCAGGTTTGAGCAGTAGCTGGGCCTCTTACATGTAGTGTATGAACACATAGACCCTGTGTTACACCTGCAGGCTCAGGAGGTCCCCCTCACTACCCTCAGGTTTGAGCAGTAGCTGGGCCTCTTACATGTAGTGTATGAACACATAGACCCTGTCGTTACACCTGCAGGCTCAGGAGGTCCCCCTCACTACCCTCAGGTTTGAGCAGTAGCTGGGCCTCTTACATGTAGTGTATGAACACATAGACCCTGTGTTACACCTGCAGGCTCAGGAGGTCCCCCTCACTACCCTCAGGTTTGAGCAGTAGCTGGGCCTCTTACATGTAGTGTATGAACACATAGACCCTGTGTTACACCTGCAGGCTCAGGAGGTCCCCCTCACTACCCTCAGGTTTGAGCAGTAGCTGGGCCTCTTACATGTAGTGTATGAACACATAGACCCTGCTTTACACCTGCAGGCTCAGGAGGTCCCCCTCACTACCCTCAGGTTTGAGCAGTAGCTGGGCCTCTTACATGTAGTGTATGAACACATAGACCCTGTGTTACACCTGCAGGCTCAGGAGGTCCCCCTCACTACCCTCAGG